TTTGCACGTGGGACTCCCTGACATTGAGAAGCAGCCCACGTGCCATAGAATCGTTGCTTTGGAATATGTGTGGCTTGCAAAAGAGCAAACAAAAAGCAAAGAGCATAAATAACATGAAACAAAATGCAAGGACACTCGACCCGTTTTCATGCAGGTGCTACTCCCCACCAATAGACTGGAGTCATCAGCAGGGCCGGCAGGGGTGGATGCTCCTATCACCGCACCCATCAACTGAGGCAAATGGAACAAGTTGAGACGAAACAGAATAAAGGCCAAGACTAGCCAAATGCAACTGAACCTAACCACACCTGAAACCCTAAACTGAAACCAGCTTAAACCACCACTACGTCCAAACGTGACCTGCTGACCCAACAAGACCCTGTAAAATTTGGGAAATAGGAGGGCCTTTCCAGGTAGTGGTGGTTTAAACCACCGGTACCTCCTAAAAGTGCTCCGCGTTAACGGCCAGCCGAAAGTGGAAATTGTGCTGTTTCCACTTAGCTGAATCGGGCCTACAGGTCCAGGCCCGTTATTCCCAAAAGCCACGCCCGTTAACGCGGTGCACTTTTAGGAGGTACTGGTGGTTTAAGGGACCAAAAACAAATCTAACTGAAGCAAACTGCACTCCACTAAATTCTGGCATACCAAACTCATCCATTTTTTGTACAGCTGGCCAGAAGTAGGTTCATGCTAGCATGACCGGGACCGTGTCCACTGCCCAGACTGGCCCAGGTTGGACCAGCTAAATAAGCCCAGCTAAGTCAGGAGTCTAACTTCAAACCACATCGCATGTCTCAAATCAAGTGAACCTCAGTCAAATTGGATCGAGTTGAGTCAACTTGAGTCCAAAGTTGCCAGCATGCCTAGGCCATGTCCACTGCCTAGCCTGGCCCAACCCGGGCTGGCTAAACAAGCCAAGTTGGGTCAACTTCAGTCGAGTGAATTGCGTTGACACAAGTTGAGTCCCAAGCTGAGGAAGCCTAGCCAAGCCAGCAAAATCCCCAAACCTAACACAAAACCAGAGCTAAAATGCAAACGAGTCGTAAGGGTGACTTCACTACAGTAAAGGCCATAGGAGAAACCGGGGAGTAGCCGAGTGGGTATAGACCCTAGGGGGTAAAGCTTTGCTCGTAAGTACGGTAGGGAGCGATATGGGAGTGTTACACATTGACGGGACCTTCACTACAGTAAAGGTCGTAGGGGGGACTGAGGAGTGGGAGAGAAGGTTAACAACAGTCGTATTTTTCATCACCACTTCAGGACACCCTTCACAACTTCAGGATGCAGCCTGCCTAAACAGGTGGTTTTCAGGGTTTTCGGACCTTTCACCACTTCAGGACACCCTTCACCACTTCAGGATGCAGCCTGCCTAAACAAGTGGTTTTCAGGTTCGGACCTTTCACCACTTCAGGACCATTCAGGTCTGAAAATCTCATGGTCGCCCTTCCTGCAACACACATAATGTGCGACTTGGTACATAGACATGTTTCCCATCCATTATGCCTGCCTAGGAGTGGGATAGCCAATTGGAGCCTGGGGCTGTCCCCCCAACCCCCTCTGCGGAGCGGCTAGTGCAGCAAAGGTCCTAGGCTGGATTCTGTTGTCTCATACACTTGTAGTCTGGTTTGCTTGCCGGTAATAAGCAACCGGACTGCAGCCCCCCAGAATATAAGGGGCATTTGGTTGTGAAAAAAAAACAAAATTGCAAATGAGCCCAAATCCGACAAGACTGAGGCGAGTTGCACCCATCCAATCTTTATTTATCAGCCAGTCCATAGTCGGGAGGCAGTAGTGCTCAATTTGCTACTGATGCTAATTTGGCCGGTTTTGCCTTAATGATCCGGAACCATCGGATGGGACATAACTCCTCGCAGTCAATGTTGAGGTGTTTCATCCATCATGCCTCTTCAAGTGTCGCGTTGATCCTTGATCCATCCGATAGATCCCTTTGACTAATAGAGTGCGCAAGTATTGTGCACTGGTCTTACCTCTGCTAGGCAGGGTGGTTCAAGTTCAAGCTTCCGGATCCAAGGCAAGGCTCGAGATTGGGAGGTCCAGGCGGAATGGTAGTAGCGAACAGTCCTGGTCCTCAAGGACCCTGATCCGGTATATCTCGTTCGGGTTGAGTCATCGCTCCTATACTATGGGCTCTCAGGTGAGGGTGTTATCCGCCTGCAACTTGGAAAACCTGACCAGGACTTGGCCATCAGGGCGGGTATCCACTATACTGGTCGCTTGATCCCTTCGGTTTCTAAGCAGTCTCCCATTTCCAAGGTCGGGCCTTTGTGAAGGATCCGGACCGAGTCTTGGGGGATGGAGAAGATCAGTGTATCAAGTGTCTCTCCTGGATGGTGGCAGTATCACAATTTGGGTCATAGTTGGGGCTTGGTGGCCTGATACTAGATATCCACGTCACAGAAGATTTTGTTTGACCAAAACCCTCCAGGGGGCCGCTGTGCTGGAGAAGACCCTGATGTGGCGGTCTGTGATCCATCGGTTGCCAAGGAGGGGCTGCCCGTAGACCTCCTCCCACGTTTGGGTGCCACCTTATCTGGGACGGTGATCTGTCTTCAGGTTTTCAGGAGTGCGGGTCGCCTATTATTCACGCAGACCATTATTAACCTCTGGAAAGGGATTGACATCCGTATCTTTCGGGAGTATTCCTTAACCAAGTAGTAGGGTGCTTCTATAGGAGCCTCAACTATTTGTTGGATGAAAAGGATGCTTATGTGTGAGCTATCCTGCTACTCTGAACTAGATCCTATGTATACTTTGAGTGAGACTAAGCAGAGAGTCAACTACTCATGAATAACTTACTCACCTGTCTGTTTGACTGACAGAGTGTTTGGTATTGATCAAGTAGTAAGAGATTCATGTTTAAATCGGCCTACAACTTGAGTGTGTTAACACAAATAGCAGAGAAGGGAAGGAACAATGCTCCTGTTGGAGCAAGGTCTTCACATATTTGGAGAAAGAACAAGGAAAGAAGATAGGACCGCGGGAGAAAGAAACTTAAGAACTACCAAGTAGTCCGTAACCGTCCGTGGCTTTCGGGTGGAAGACCACATCGATGAGTGAGTTATATCTTATTTACATAAGCGCCAAACGGTGCGCTTATCCCCGAGAGAGAAAATGCAAGGACTGAGGGTAGGGGGAATTATGAGTTTCCCTAAAGGCGACTTAGGACATAGGCATGAGACTCCTTGAAAGAAGGAGAGAGTGACAGACGACATAGGGTAGGATTGTGAGAGTAAAGCTAGGGGTTGGACCTGGGATGTCGATCCCAAAGCTCACTACCCATCTAAGGGCTTGACCCTTAGATATCAATATGTGGGAAATCGAGTGGGGGTGTTGAATCTTTGTTGACCTGTGTGTGTGCAGGTTCGAACTCATTTTACTGCTGCATTGGAAGGAAAGGATCTACAAAAGGATCCAAACTTTCTGTTATCTCTCGATAACAGGTCGGTTGTTACCGATTCAACTTTCTCCCTTTGACTTGATACCCACCTCTAACGTCAAACCTTGTGGTCAGTAAAACTGTCACCTGTAGTCATTGCCTAAATGGTCCTGGTCACTCTCAAGGGTCTTTTGTAGAAATGTGAAGGGGTTGGGTTTACGTCTCAGGAAAGACAAGGCTGTCATGCATGGTTTGGGAAGTGAGGGACAAGGTCAATGGTTGATGGTTGATGCCGTTAGTGCATGGCATGTGAACTGTCTTTGCATTATTCTGTACAGGTCTGTTTTGTGCGTGATTTGGATTGAACTGGACTTGGTCTGTTGAAGAGTCCCGGACACACAGCACTTGTGAAAGTGGGAAGGGTTCTCGGCGATAATACTTCCATATTCATCATATGTCCAACTTAACTATTATGATGTTCAGTTAAGTCCTAACCTGTTAAGAAAAATAGGACGCTCTTTGGTAAAAAGAAGATTTGATTGATATTGGTTGAAAAAATAATACATTACGCAGTAGCGGAAATAGACTGCCTTATTAAAAGTTCGACCTGAATATCTGACGGGTCAGTTCTAGGCGTCTTACCGCGCGTACCCCGTTTTATGCTACAACGATCGAGCAAACGCCCTCGACCGACCTACCTCTACAAAGGCATGTAAAAACCTTTGGATGTGGGTCGGTAGCTCAGCAGGGATACGCCTACCTGAGGGTGGTGACAACCCCTCGGGTAGAGGTAAGTTGTACCTCGCGACTCCCCGACCTGTCGTGGGGTGTCGTGAGAGGTATAGCACGCGCGCACGGTTGGAGTGGTGACCAGTTCTTTTTCGGGAATACATCCTGCGTGACACGACCGTGAGGTTCAGCGCTCCCAGCGGGGTGTGGGACCGCCGCGCACGACAGCATGTTTGTGAGGATGCGGTCGTCCTTACCAAATGAACGATTCAGCTCCAAACGCGCGCACCACAGTACACACGTCGGCCTTTTCATTGTGTCGCCCTCACCTGGTTTTGCCTCCTCTCCCAGCTTGTTCGTCTCCGCGGCACGAACGTAGACGCACGCTGCGCTCCGCCGTCGTCGATGATCCGCGCCTTCAGGCGGATTCGCTGTGACGTGCGCACGCCACGAAGTTGGGTCATCGCCAGTTTATCTAGAAGTGTTCGACGTCGACGTCGTCTTCCTCGCCGCCTACATCGCCTTTCTCGCCGTCGTCTCGTTCGTCATCATCGCTGCGTTCGTCGCCGCGATTGAGGTCGTGGCCTTGCTAGGTCCACGGGGCAATCCACCTTCGTCATCGCAGACAATGCCATGGGACATTTGAACCTCATGGCCGCACCTGTGATCATTCGCCGTCGCCACCATCGTCACATTTGCCGTCTTTCCTGCCGCCACCGTCGTCGTCGTCGTCACCGACTGGGGCCGTTGTCGACAACGTCTTCTACACCGTCGACGACAGCAACGACATCATCGCCTTACTGATCATCGCAGTGGAGACAATGATCCAATTTGCACGAAAACGTTTCGCCATCGACGCGGAGATCTTGACGAGGTGGGGTGGTCAAGCTCGAACTGGGTATGTCGCGCGTCATGTCGTCCTGCAGTTGTGGATGTGGCAAGTCCATCCGGAAACTGGCAGTTGAGGTGGCTATCCGAGAGAAAAAGGGCCGCCACGTCAACAACAAGCTCAGGAAGGTCGTGGAAGGCGGCTCCTCAGTTGCGAGAAACGTGGAGGACGAAGACTGGGTGGCGGAGGGGGTGCTGTCGCAGGTGGAAACCGACTTCGAGGAAGAGGAGGAAGTGTCGTTGAAGCGGAAGTCATCGAGGAGGGGAAGTGGAGCCCTCCGGATCGAGGATGTTGGCGAAAGACGAGGCGGAGGAGGCCACGCAGTAATGGAAGACGTCATCGATGTCAACGCCGCTGCGGCATCCAGGCGAGGAGGGGGAACTGCAGTCACACACCAACATCGCGCTCCAGTGCTACGTGTGAACGAAGCCATGGTCGCGAAAGAGGTTGTCGGTCGTGCGCGAATACCAGGAACCGCGCGGGCGACGACGGGCACAGACGTTGGCGCAAACACGCAAGGCTTCACACGCGGCCAAAGGAGCGAGGGCGGGCGGGGTGAAGCCGGGGGGGGGAGACCAGGCGGTGTAAGGGGCAAGGGCAGGCGTTGTCGTAGGACCGGGGGAGGACGACGAAGTGTTGGTGAACAGGGTGCGTCAGCAAAGTGCGCGGGATGGAATAGAGGCAGCGTCGAAGCTTTGGGTGGACGACATCCGCTTCTGGAACGAAAAGGAAGGGAACGCCATTGTGAAGTTGATGCAGGAAGCGCGCCTGTATCTTGTTGCGGTGGCGCGGGAGTGCAGGCTCCAGCAGTTTGTCGAAGCATCGTCTTGCCACATCCCACCATCCCACAACACAAAATCGACGACGAATCCGAGTTGAACGCTGCGCAGGAGAGGGCGTTGAAGGTGCAGACCATCGGTTTGCGGGTGATCCACAGGCAGGTCTTCAAGTCGACAAGCAGGCAACGGGGGTACCACGTTGCGTACGGGTACGCGTTGGACCACGCAGCAACTGACATCGCTCGTGCGATATGGCTGGGGGAGGACTGGCGTGTATGTGTGAGCCCCATGGTGTTCCACATCACGCTGGACATGGATATGAAGTTGCCACTGTGGTTCGTCGGCACCAACATCAAAGACAGGCACGAGAACAACGAGTTGGCGGCGTATCAGGAGGCGAGCATCCAGCGACTGGTGGGGGCGTTCACGAGCGCCGTGAGCACGGCGGAGGGGATCGACGGCGGTCGGGTGTCGCAAAAAAGGTTGAAGAGCGTTGCCGAAGCGATGAGGATCATGCTCGCGGCGACCATGTGGCTCATGCGGATGAGCGGGGACGATCATCGCGCGCATTACGACGCGTGGGTATTCGTCCAACTGACGACAAAATCGACGCTCATTGCATCCATGCATCGCTCATTCGATGCGCGTCGCCACATCGTGCAAGCTGCGACCGCCATAACGGACAAGTTGGCGGAACCCCCCATGACTTTGGTAGCGCCTCCATTGTACATCCCCGACTGGGCGTCAATCGACGTCAAGTTCTCACATGACGCCACGTTGTCTTCCCCCATGGAGGCAAAGAAGCTCGATTGGTTGGGCACAGGCCCCCCGGAAGACATCGAGGACGACAAAGCCAATGACGAAGGGAGCGGGGGGGGATGATGACGCGTTCACGGCGATGTGTCGACATCGCCATCGCCATCGCAGGGCGGGATAGGGTGGTTGTCGCATTTCCCATTTAGACGGCGATGTGGAATGAGGGACGCGTGGGGTGGGGAGGGGGGATGGGCGGGTTTTGGGGGCGTCCTGCATGTGCGCGTTCGTCGCGCTTGTTGTTTTCTTTCGCGCGGTGTTGCTCTGCCTTCATTTGCTCGGATACGGGTCACCAATCGTCGTGCCGGAGTGCACATAATCCATGGAGGTTACTGGGAGAGGAGTGCGGATCGGTTGTCGTGGGGGTTTTGCATGAACCTTTCGTTTTCTCAAAAAGTTTATTATATTTTTTAAACATGCCAAATCGATGTTCGCATCTGTGAAAGCGAACATGTAATTGTGTTGATTTATATTGTCGTGTTGTCTCTTCCTATTTTGTTCCGCTTTCGTTTGCATTCAAGACAGTTATGGTAAGGGGTACGTAACGGGGTCGGGGATGCTTGCTTGAACCGATGGTTGATGACAAAGTCAGGGATGTTCACACACGGCATTGCACATTTTGGAAGCAGAGATGGCAGTACAAATAACACACAACAACGTCGTGCAATCATGTGTTTTTCATTCGTCCACAAAGAAGAAGACAAGGCACTCAACATTCATACTTTAAACGACACGTAACAAACAACATTGTTGTGTCTCGTACAAAAAAAAAAAAGTGGTTGAAGACACACTTTGCAAAAAATAAAGGCCTAGAAGGTAACTTCAATCCAAAGTTCCGAAAAATAGAACACACGATGAAAACTTCAGTACGTCACCAAGACACGTCACCCTCGGTGACACCACACCACACTACAACTACGATCGGCACGTGCACACGCGCCACGTCACCCCCGTCGACCATGCGCTGGACTGTGCCATCGCCATCAACCCCGGGCGCGCACACCCTCGTCAAGGGCACGCAGCGCGAAACAAAACGAGCACGAACTGACGACACACGACGCCCCTACACGACAACCCACAGCGAAACAGGCACCGCTGCTTCAACTCGCAAACGTCGTTAAACGGCCCGCACACATAACGACCCCAAGTCAAACGACCACCCCTTCCAGGACAAGACGCCTCCCGCGTCTTCCTCTACGATTTCTCACCTGCTCCCCGCGCCGCCCACAACGATTTCTCGCCACACCCACGCATCACAGCCGACCGCTCCGCACGCCTGGCCCTGTTCACTGCGCACCCATTCGCTCCGCCTGTGCGTCTCGTAAAATGAGCGCATCCCCTGTCGACGACTCCATACACATCGGCCTCACGGGACGCTCCATCCCAAGATCCACCCTGCGACGCACACCGTCAGGGCCGACCTCCCACGGTAGATTGTCGTTGAATGGGATGCCCGCGTCGATGAGTATGTTGTGCAGAATGCAGACTGCGACGAACTGCTGCGGCAACGTCTCCATGTTCGTCTTGTGGGAGCGAAGGAACAACCTCCACATCCCCTTCAGTCTGCCGAAAGCCCTCTCAACTGCTCCCCTCGTCGTCTTCTACTTGTTGTCGAAGCACAACTCCAACGGGGTTTGTGAGAGACCGCCGTAGGGGACGACTACCCATTCGGAGGGCGGATAACCGTTGTCCCCCAGCAGATAGTCGTTCGTCCGCACACCGAAAGGCAGCATGACGGGTGGCCCAGTGAAATGTTCCTCTGCATCCGCGCGCGCCCATAAACTGGACAGGTGGACGATCCTCACGTCGTGGCAACTTCCCGGATAACCGACGAACACATCCAGCACGCGCAAGTTCAAATCGACGACTGCGCCTGAATGGAGAAATGGGGTTTTCTATCGTAGTAGTCCTCCACGGGCCAATTCGTTGGCTTGTCGATGAAGATGTGGGTGCAGTCGATGCACCCATGGCAGTTAGGGAAACCCTTGTCAGCGAAAGCGCGCAAGACGAACGCCTTCTGCAGCCCGTCGGCCAGGATATCTTGTCGGGGTACGCACTCAGCAACGCCGCTGTTACATCCTGCACAGCCACCAACCCAGAAGATCTGCCAATGCCGAAGCTGCATGTCCCACTCTCGTATGTCTCCCCCGACGCCCACCTGTACAAAGAGTACGCGACAATGTGGTCAGGCTGGAGCGGCTCCCTATAGAAAGTGACACGCCGTTCAAGGAAGGGAGACAAAGCTTCCGTGATCTCTCGGAACACACGTGGTGACATGCGCAGCTTGTCCTTGAAGTAGTCCGCTGTCGCGTCGTCGCATTGCCGAGGATCCTCCCACGTCCCTCCTGTCCGTCGCTTCATCCACCACCTGTGCGTCGCTCTGGGGAATGCTCCACACCCGATGGCATAGCACACCTGCAGCACGGCGTCGCAAATGGCACCTTTGTCCTCTCCCTCCATATTCGTGGACTGCAGCGTCCTCTTCCGCCGTGCACGAATGGCCGCTCTCATCCTCCCCTCGCCCCTCTGCAATTAACACCGGAAGAGGATGGCGTTCACGGCCGCTGCCACCGCCGTCCTCTCCGCCTTGCTCAGTGTGTCACGTCCCATCCCCCCGTTCGTGGCCATCGCCGAAACTGGTACTGTCGACGTGGGCGTCGCCAAGTGCAGAAGACTCCATGTGTGGCGGGCCGCACAGCAGCGCTGCTGCGAGTGACGACCCGAGTGCACAGTGTACACGTCGACGATCAAGCTCGGCTGCGAAGACGACAACGACGGCGATCGTGTGACGGCGTGTCTGCTGCTTCGGACGCGTACATGTACGTTCGGCGTGCCCACCGACACGCAGCCGCCACCCCATACCCAAATGCTTCCGCCGAGGAACGTTGTTGCCGTCAGCTGCAAGGGACGCCCACGGTACTGGCCGGTCGCTTGCGGAAATTCGAATTTCGAATTTCGAACCCGGGCCTGCACGCCTTTTTCGTGCCTTTTTTTTTTTCCACCGCCAACTTTCGAATTCGCGACGCCCGCCCGAGCTGGACCAATGACGTCGGCACGGACACACCTTGCTGGACCAACCTCCTTCCCCCCCCCCGGTCCGCTTGTCGATATATGAAAGTGGCCGCGGAAGGCCCCAAGGAATCGTCCTCGGGGAACAATTCCAAGGATGAGTGGAACGACGGCGCGAATTTCCTCGGGCGACGACGGGATAATTTCCTCGGGCCCCAAGGACGGCCTGAGGAGTGTCGAACGAGCCCCATAAACCACCAGTGCCTCGAGTTTCAGGTGTTTTTTTTTCTTTTGGGAATGCACTCTTTCGTTGACGGCACTATAGTATTGCAACTTTGTGTGTTGCGTTTGCGTCCCATCTTGTCATCTGTGAATGATCTCTATTGCCATGCCTTCACCAGTGCCTGTACCTTTCCTCCAAACTTGCAGGTTAGATTTCTACTCGACGGGAAATCTTTGAAGTTTCCCTCTCCTTGCACTGGTGGTTTGAGGGTGCACAGAGTGGTCAAGTTGTCAACTTGGTATGATTGCTGACATGCTGTCACTTTGATTATAAAATGTTTTGCACCTACCCGTTCCAAGTTGACACTCCCCACCAATAAGAAGATATTTTTTTCTTCCTCTTCTTTTTGAGTGGGAAATCCAGTCTCCACCATCCCCTTTTTCTTGTTTTCCTCTTTTTGAACTTCACTCCATTATATTCTGGGAAGTTTCAATCTGATTCCTCAACCTCCATCACGTTTCACAGTGTCGCAGACCCAGGAGCCAGGGAGCACTGCCCAATGACCATGGTACCCCATACTCTTTTTTCTTACAAAGAAACTTCTTTCTGGAAAGGTCCACTTCTGCAGTTGATATGGGTCCTGTAGTGAATACCTGTCCTGTGATGGCTCCAGTCTTATTGGTGGGGAGCCACACCTGCTGTCAACGGGGTACAGCGCCCCACACATTCAGAAATAACCTGGTTGTAGGTCTTTGGTGAAACAGACATGTCAGCATTAGTTGCACTTCTGAAAGGGGATTGAACCACCAGTTCACATGAACCTTCCTAGAGGAGGTGTTTTAAAGCACCAGTCCATGGGCACCTGGGCCGCGGGCCTGACACCTCAAATTCTGGACGCGCGAAACGAAACCTCGACCGCCGATGTAATTTATCAACGGCGGGCGCGGCGTTTGACGTTTCGGCCTCATTTTCTTGTGGCGACAAGTTTCAGACTGCAAGGCTGGGGCCGTGTAATGGTGGTTTAAGGACATAAAATTAATTCCATCATTTACCCATTCCCATTAGGTGGTAATGTCAGTTTGTACTTGCTGTTTTATTGTATCAGTAAACTCCGGGCCGTCTAGCCTTGCTCCTTCCAATTTGTAAGTACATGTCCTTCTCCATAAAGCCCACAGAACTGCTCTCCTGCTAATTTTGAAATTTTTTTGTGTAAACATATCCACCTGATCTGGATGCACACAGCAATGCCCTCCATTCCCAGGGCCAGGGGTACCCAGCTGATTCCAGATCCTGTCCCACCATCTCCAGAGACAGGTCACATGGACTATTGCCGAAAAACATGTTCAATTGTTTCAGGTATTTTCAGGCTGGAAATGCTGTTGCCCAAAACTTACATTCCTTTCTGCTCTTTTTGTTTTTTTTTCCTTTTTTTTTAAAGGAAAAGCTCCGATCTATTCGAGGGGAGAAGCACGTGCTGGGAACCGGGCCCAGCATCCCATATGAGAACAATGTAGAACAGATTACAATACCAGGGCCATTACCCGACTTCAGCTATTATGACAAAATGCAAGTCTATAAGCTTGATTGAGAACACTGGAGTAGTTGGACTTAACCTAGATTCTGCAACCCAATCCACACCAGCAAATGCCGCTCAGCGGCTCAGTCGTAAAAACTACCTCAGCCTCGCCTCGCACCCCCAACTGCTGGGTTACAGGGTGGCGCGACCCGCCTCGGAATACACCCGGCGATCGTCTTGGCAACATCAGCAACGACCCTCTAATGGCCCAGATTCCAGTAGAATGCCTTCCTCCCTCGGCCATTCCCCAGATTCTCCCCCAGGCCCCATGCCCCTGATCCTGCTCAGGTTACAGAGCAGCATGACCAAACCCCAGCGCCGGCTGGCGTCGTCCAAACCAGTCT